GACAGCTTGTATATCTAACATTTGACACTTGATTGTTTTACTCAGCTTTTTTCATCAGCCTTGGTCACATCTCACTCAGACAGTGAAAACATTGGAGGCTTTTCTATTGAAGACGTAAAGAAGGAGATAAAAAGAGGAAATAAACTAGTAAGCATCCAGACCAGCAGCTCTCATACAATTCAGTTCTTCCTTTAGGCTGAAAATAGAGAATGAACATACAGCTTTTTTTATCTCATGTGCTGATTTCCTGTTCAGATGTGCACTTCCTGTCACCGGCCCGGGGCGACCATCGGCTGTGATGTAAAGACGTGTAGGCGGACATACCACTACTACTGCGCTCTATGGGACAAGGCCCAGACAAAGGAGAATCCCTCCCAAGGCATCTACCTGTAAGCAATATGAGAATGCCACTTATCGAAAAACTGCATCTGTTTTATAACTATATGTCTTTAATCTTTATTTTTGCAAATTAGGGTTTACTGTCGCAAACACAGAGATTCCTCTCAAGATGGCAGTGATGGTAACTAGCTGTCTCTACTTGGATGTTGGATACCTGCTTGTGAATCATTGCGTTTATTAATGATTTGCTCTTATTCCCAGATGAACAGGGAGTTGCGGCCAATGACTCTGATTCATCTCCACCGAGGAGCAGGGGCAGGGGGCGTTTCGAGAAAAGCAGAATCAGAGGAGTGTCACGCGGACAGTCAGATGACACTCGATCCACCTCATCGCAAGGCAATGATGACACGGAGAGCTCCTCGCATGTAGGCCACTTTATCTACTTTTTCTGATATAACCCATATTTAATCCAAATGAGGGATTACAAGTGATTCGACACAAGCTTCAGAGTATCAGTGGTTGGTGAAAATCAATTAATGCTAATTATCGTGTGCTTGTGTGTGCCGCAGCGGGACCGGTCTCCTCTGAGAGGCAGCCCCAGTGATTCAGGCCTTCGCTGTGGCTTCTGTCATGCCGGTGAAGAAGAGAATGAAACACGCGGTGTGCTCCACTCGGACAATGCCAAGAAGGTTGCTGCCCACTACAAATGCATGGTAAGGCTTCTTCAGTACTGAAAAACAATGAGTCATTTAAACGACAAATTAAGAGTTTTATTTCTTAAAGGAATAGTTCACCCAAAAGTGAAAATGTACTCCCCTTCAGGCTATCCAAGATGTAGATGAGTTTGTTTCTTCATCAGAAATGTAGCATTTCATCACTTGCTTACCAATGGATAGATGAGTGCCACCAGAATCATTTCAAAATGTTGGTAAAAACATCACAATAATCCACAAATAATCCACACAACTCCAGTCTATCAATTACTAAGATACTGTCAAGCGAAAAGCTGCATGTTTGTAAAAAAAAAAGAAAAAAAATTAAAGCCATCATTGAGATGTTTTTAACTTCAAACTGTTGCTTCTGGCTAAAATATGAGTCTTCTATCCATAATATTGCTTTCTCTAGTAAAAAAAAAAAAGTAATCTTCTCTGAATCAGGTGAGAAATATGTACAGATCAAGCAAAAACAGAGTGAAAATGTTCACGTCTGCTGTAGACACGGTCTCATTCTGACGGCACCCATTTACTGCAGAGGATCCATTGGTGAGCAAGTGATGAAATGCTACATTTTCCCAATAAAGAAAAATTAATCTACATCTTGGATGGCCTGAGGGTGAGTACATTTTCAGCAAATGATCCTTTTGGGGTGCTCTATTGAACTCTTTAACTGTTTTGATAAATCACATTGAAACTTTTATATTTGTAAACGAATATCTAAAATATACAAGATATTTAGTATTGAAAACTTCTATTTTTTTTCCCCCTTTATTTTCATGTTCTAGGTTTGAAAACATTTGATTCTGCCTGATCTGTTAAAACATCTATTATAAAAACTTCTATTCTTCTATTCTATTCTATTTCTGTTTTGTCACAGCTTTTTTCTTCGGGTACCGTCCAGCTAACCACCACCTCTCGTGCCGAATTTGGGAATTTTGACATTAAAACGGTTATCCAGGAAATCAAGAGAGGAAAAAGAATGGTGAATTTTTTTTTATTTTAATTGAAATAAATATTACGGTGCCCCGCACATGACATGCAGGGACAAAAAATGTAAATCGCTTGCACCCCGTTTTAAGTAAATTGTGTGCACAAAATATTTTTTTCTACTTCCTGATTGCATTCTTATAAACTGATATAGATGTGTCTCACTTAAAATTATTCCATGCGAGGCTTTTGAGAATGTGTGTATAACTAATTTCCAACTCAAAATAAAACCCAGTGTCTCTGTCCATAACATACTGTAACAGCAGCAACAGGTTTATGAGAATGCAGAAACGAAGTGGAACAAATTTTGTTTGCACGATTTACTTCAAATCTAGGAAACAAATGAGCAAATCGTGTGCACAATTTACTGTTTTTTTCCCCTGCATGTCATATGCCGGCTCCATAAAATATAACTAAAATAATTCTGTATTAGTTTAATTTAATATAGAATTTATCAACTATATTGCTATAGGTCTACACCAAAATATATCAATTTAAAAAAATATATTATTCTTTGTTTTCAGAATGATTTGGGTATATTAATTCATACAGTCACCTAATGTGTTTCGATCATTTTTGTTAATTTCAGAAATGCACATTGTGTGCCCAGCTTGGAGCAACCATTGGATGCGAGATAAAAGCCTGCGTAAAGACCTACCATTATCACTGTGGCCTGCAAGACAAGGCCAAATACATAGAGAATATGGCTAGAGGCATTTACAAGTATGTTTGTTTTCATTATTTATTCAAATGATTAGTCTGGCAAGATCGTTTTGACCAGCTTTTTCCAAATGTTTTCATATTCCATATACATATTGAACAGGTCAGCTATCACTTGTGCTTTAGTTTTACAGTATAACATGAACATTATGTTGTTCTTACCAGGCTTTATTGTAAGAATCACAGTGGAAATGAGGAAAGGGATGAGGAAGATGAGGAAAGAGAGAGTCGCAGTAAAGAGAAAGCTGCTATTGACGACAGAGCAGATCCTCCACCGCAGCTCAATGGCAACTAGGTGAGATTCTGCATACAGTATGTGTCCTTGGAAGGGAAATTCATGTCAACACTAGTTATTGTACATGATACAGTGATTCATTTGGATGTTCTTGTTACAGTGTGATTTGTTCGGTCTGTCATGACAGAATTTGATAATTATTCAGGACCAGGCAAATGTTATATTTTGATCGGTGGACATGAGGAAGATTAAAGTACTCTCTTTTTTCAGATGGTGCATGAAGATGGAAGACATGATATGATGCAGATAGAAGAAATATTTTTGTATAATCCTCAATTAGAAACTAGGGGCCCAGTTCACAATATCTGACAATTTCAGTTTTCCTCTCTTTAACAGTATTTCATGGACATTGTGAATGAGAATGTAAGTTCATTATCAAATGCTATCAATATGTTACTGCAGTGTAAACCATAACATAGCTGGATAGGTTTTATTTAAACATGGTATACTGATAATGCTCAAACAATATGATTGGACGGCTGGAACAGTGTCATCTGTTTGTGCTTGTACCTCCAGTTTCCTCTTTGGCGAACTGCTCTTTGACTGGACCCACTCTGAAAAAGACTGCCCTCCGACTGTTTATAGTGCATCTCCAAACTATGACGTTTAATAAGCCTTCTCCGTCATGAAACTGTCTTTTACCATTTTTTTTTTTCTCTCTCTCTCGCTACATGTATTATATTTTATTACTGTATTATACTCATGAGTACTATTGGATATCTGTGGTTTTCTTTATAGTACAGGTCAGGATTAAAGAATATTGGCTAGCATGCACTTTTCTTTACTTCGTCTCACATGGTGGTCTTTCTTTTTTCTTTGCTCTATATGCAGATACTCATTTGCTCATAGGCATTATGTGCTTTGTGTTTTCAGTTGTCCATTTGGTGGCAAGAACTCAAAATAAGAGTCCTAGAAGGCAGATGCTTTTAAACATGGTTAAAGATATTGAGGAAAAAGCTTAATACAAAATATCATATTCTTGATTGTATGATAATGATTAGATTTAAGTGGATTTAATGAGTCAGGGTTTCACATCGGAATGCACTTGTCGCTCATGTCAGGATATTTTAAAGTCAACGTCTTGATGCATATTTTTAAGTCTTGACTAAATTAATTTATTGGACATTTTCACGGTTACTGCTCAGGAAGAAAACACAGTTTACTGGGTAATTTGTCGTTTATTGGGACCTGCCATTAATAAGAAGAATACACTTCATTTTAAGGTGTCCTTGTTGCAGTATAAATACTCATACCGAGTAATAGTAATTAACATGTACTTACTATAATGTTTAGTTTATGGTTAGCCACATGTAATTATGCATAATGTACTACAGTACGTTCATGTAACAAGGACACTTAAAATAAAGTGTTGCTGCATTGTAAAACAATGAGAATCAAATATAGATTAAATGGGTAACAGAAATTTCAAACCAATACTTTGGCTAACAAATATTTAAATTAGTGTTTAAAACATTTAACATGTCAATGTAAATGTGGCAATCCTAACCTGCTTATGAAAAAGATCATAATTAGTTTTCATTTTCTTAGTTTTTTTTTTTATGTATCCTACTGGGTTTATTGCATTCTGGTCAAAAGCTAAAGTGTAAATACTATAAAGAAATGATTGTTTGGAGAACAAATTTAACAACAAAAAAAAAGGCTTTCATCCATGTGTTATGTAATTATAATAATGAATAATTTAATTATGTGTTATGTGTAGCTGACTATTATATTTTTTTCTTATTTGTATTGTTTAACTGGGGCTTGACGGATATATCACTGTTAATATTTTAATGTAGTATTTAATACATTTACTATGCCCTTACTCATATTAACGCACAGTAATTTGGTGGCTCTATCACTTTAAAATTAGAACGTGATTCGTGTGCGTTGTCACTGCTAAACACTGATTGGTCGACAGGCTCCAGTCCTCATGTAATGCTAAAACACCCACATTGTAATGTGCGGAAGATTACAGGATTGTGCTCGCTCAGTCCTTTAAAGGTGAAATTGAGAATAGAAAGGACTACAACTACGCCCTACATTTCTCATCAGAATCGAGGGCGTTTGCAGCAGCTGGGTCGGGACGGACATGGCGTCTGCCAGCCCCTGTGTCGTGGTAGGTGTTGCTGTACACACACTTCAATCATTTACACCGGAGCGCGACACTTGATTACTTAGTCACTGTACGTTACCCAAACGAATAATTAGGAAGTGTGTTTTAATAAAAAGCTAAATTGTTGCTGTAAGCTATGCCTTTTATCCATAGAAATAGTGCCGTTTGCATACAGAAGTGTATTTAGCACATAATATTACCGTGAAGTGTAGGGGCCTGGAGGGAAAGCACGATGCAGCCCATTCATTTCTGCACAAGACCAGTGGAAAATGAGCAACAGACTTTTGCGCGAGAAACGCTGCACATGCTCGGTTGTATTTTGGTTTTATGATTTATCAGATGCCCTGATGAATGGGTGAAAATGGACGATTAAGGTAGCGCGTTCAGGCAAAAATCCTTTCCTTGGTTCAGGTAAAAAAGCGCTGTTCGTTTCCGTTTGTTGTAAAGTGATAATAAATGTAACGGGCTTTGTGGGCAGGATGCTGTAGTGAGCTATTGAAATGACTCAGCTTTGTTCAAAGAGACTCAGGGGAGTCAATCATCTTCCTCCGCCCTAAATTAAGATATTATCTTGAGGGTATAATTTTAGACCGACCCATCCCGCGCTTTGTAATGCGTGATTGGATTTATTACTGAATCAAAAGGTGCGCTACACTCTTAAAGGGACAGTTCACAGAAAGAAAAAAACAAAACAAATCAATCGGTCAGTTCTGACCTCAGCCTCATGTCGTTGCGATCCAGTATACCTTTCCTTTTTCCTGCAAAACTCAAAAAGCAGTTTTTAAGCGTGTCCCATGGGACAATGAATGGTGAGTGAAGATAATCAAGTCTCAGAAGGCTGCAGAATCACCTAAAAGTTGCAAATACTCGTGTTCTGTGTCCGAGTCTTCTGAAACCACACAATAACAACTTGAGGAACACATCCTACTCCAAGTATTCACTGAAAATATGTACCTCTGGTTAGCTGTTAACTGGTGCAAACAGATCATTGAGTCCCTGAGTTGAACATAAGAACCCAACCAGGGGTGCGTTTCCCAAAAGCAACTACAGTATGGTGGCAAGTTCCGTCGTTACAAATAGAGTTCAATAGAACTTACCACCATAGTTGGCAAACAATGCTTTTGGGAACCATACCCCAGTCTGATTTTTGAATGAATCATTCAGGGCTGTTTTTTCTTAAAGCATTGTAAAGGGATAATTCACCCAAAAATGACAATTCTGTCATTGTTTACTCACCCTCCACTTGTTTCAAACCTGTATGAGTATCTTCTGTTGACTTCCAGCATTTTTTATGGGAAGTCAATGGGGACAAGCAACTGTTTGGTTACCAACATTCTTCAAAATACTCATACAATAAGAAACTCATACAGATTTTGAACATCTTGAGGGTGAGTAAATAAAGACAGAATTTCCTTTTTTTTTTTTTGGTGAACTATCCCTTTAAGCCTAAGATAATAGAAACTATTGGCACCAGTGGTCTCTACCATTATGCTTCCAATGCTTTTGGGAAATCAGTTTTGTAAACTGGAGCAATGAATTACTGAAAAGATCCAATTCCAACATACTGTTTGTTTATGGAAAGGACATTGCTTTTCTCACATACTATGATGAACAGCAAGGTGAGCTAGGGTGGATTTCAGGATCTTCAATAGAAAGCCGTTTAAGTTTAGGTCTGTTCCTCATATAATCTCTACTAGATGACTTCAGAAAGCATGTAATATAGTGCACAAGTCATGTGGACCCATGTTTATGATTCTTTTCATGGTGATTTTTCATCCTTCTTTAGGCATTTTCAACCATACTGTGTTGACTTAAGTCTCTGGGAATTCTGTTACCTGAAGAGGTACAATAATAAACACCAATTTATTTGCCTCAGGCAACATTTTTTTAATGCACAAAAAAGGCTCAATATTCTGATACAGCTAAAAGAAGACATGTGACATGCATGTGAATCTAAAGCAGGAATTTTATTGGTGTGAAACACTGCTCACCTGACAGCACACAGACTTACGTAATGCATGCTCCGGCAGCAATATGAGAAACTAAACTTTGGCATGCAGCCATTACATACTAGGATTTAAAATGCATGTCTTATCACAGCCATGTCTATTGATGTGGATTGTGCTTTGGGGTTTGAATCTCAAGATACCAGCAGTAAGCAGAGGGGAGCAGTAAGCAGACGAACCTCTCCTGACAGCTGCACGTTATTTGTCTGAAACACCTTCAAGGACAGTGTGATAACACTTATGGGAAAAACAAGCTAGTCTACTTCCGTTTAGACAATCATTGACACCCTTCACAAGGAGGGTAAGCCACAAACATTCATTGCCAAAGAAGCTGGCTGTTCACAGAGTGCTGTATCCAAGCATGTTAACAGAAAGTTGAGTGGAAGGAAAAAGTGTGGAAGAAAAAGATGCACAACCAACCGAGAGAA